TTTCATACGCTCTTACGTGGGTACCACGCACACCTGGGAGCTGAATTTGAAATCTTTAGCAAGTACTTGCACAGGGAATATCCCCACAAAGTTTCAGCCCCTTGGCTCGTGTGGTTCCCAAGATCGCCCTCCCGCCAAAAAATTTGCATGTTTCTTTAAGGCGCTCGTACACGGCGCCCAAGCGCCCGCAGGGGATGATATTAAAATAGGACGGTCGCGCACGGTATGGGCACATATTCCCAAAGTTTCAGCCCTCTGTCTTTTCCCGTTCCCGAGTTATGGATTTTCCCGCCAAAACTTTCAACCCCTCGTACGCGGGGCCCAGATGTACGTGGGGGATGGCACCGCGGTTCTGGAGTGGTACTTGGCCGGGGTACCCGATAGTAAATCTCGGCCCTGGAACACTTGCTTGGTTGCCGAGTTGAAATACCCGGACAGACGAACCACACACACACAAACATACACACACACATACATACATACATACACACACAGACAGGGTCGTCCCAACATGCGTTTTTGCAATTTGCATATAGGCAAAAACGCATAAAAACAGTCATATTTCACAAGCAGATTGCGGACTGCAGCTTATGAAAGGAATGCACCGATGGGGCAATCTGTCAGTAACTTACTTTCAAATATTTCACCATACCGCCTGTACTGCACATTTTCGATACTAAAGCCAAGCAATATAAACTTGGAAAAGGACACAAGTATGATACATAAGTTTGTCTGGAGCAACCAACTACATGTGTTTGCCAAACCTCAAGAAACCACCCAAATTGTTCGGACGTGAACAATAATGTTTTACTCACGAAAACTTTCATGGATACATGACATAACCATCTCTAACGCGATTAATGAGGCAAATATTTCAGAGCATTTCAAGTGCAGTACAAAAATGGTGTAATTACTCTCCAAATGCATCAAATATTGGAGGGTCACTACCTCTGTGAAGCGATAAATGTTGCCGGACGAGCCACTACTGAATGCTACCTTCACTTTCAAGAACACTGGGACGAAACGCTACGTAGAAAAAAACGAAGCCTGCGAGTTGAAAGGATATCTAGTACGCAAGAACGGACCACCAGAGAGACGCGGACTGGCCCACAGAAGACACAAGCAGCTACGTCAGTTCACGAATACAAATATACCGCACAAGAACGAGAACAAATTGAAGGAATAAAAACCGAACGGGAATGGCTGTTCACCAGAAAGGAAGCGGTCGACGAAGAAATCCTGAATGAGGCCAAAGCATATGAAGAAGTGACCAAGGACGTGGACATAACAATGAAACCCGCAACCGCCCTAATGGAGCTATCGGTAGTGGAGATCGTCCTTGAAACCGGGAAACACCACATTTCGAAACGACCGTTCCAGGAAATCGATGTCGTAGCCTCCGTGGAAGCACGAGAATCCAGCGACAGAGCGGAGGCTGTTCTTGCATTGCGTGTATTGGACACTGCA